CCTTTTGCATATATATATATGTGTGTGTGTGTGTGTGTGTGTTTAGTGTGAACGATTGCAACCAAAAAAGGAGGTGCACAACTACATGTTATAACAGTTCCATATACAAAATTTGAATGTTTTACAGCTACTCATTTTTGAGTTATACACGACACATACGTACATATGTCACGAAAAAAATGTCTTCTGAATATGTTTTGGAAAAAAAAGAGCCTTTTATTCTGTCTGCATGTACAGATGATGTACAAAAACATCGTTCAAATGGATTTCAGAGCCATCAAAATGGATATTTTCATTTACTATGATACCCAAAATTTTTTGTAATTACAATACTTCCTTTATGTTGGACAAGGAAGTAAAAAAATGGTACAGTTCTATATCTCTCGTTCTACTGCGTCAATTGATGAAATTCAACTTGCATTTTTCATGTCTCAAAAGCAAGACTTACGATACATAATAGATTTATATACAGCACTGTTCTAATATATATATATATTGATACAAATTTTGGGTATCAAATGAAATTGCATGCCAATTTTTTCCCTATTTTGACTCGACAATTCAAATTTTGCAAAAAACTTACAGAAATTTAAAAATTTATCTCGGTGCACTTCTTTCAGTTGGTGACAACAATAATTTACTTAGCAAAAATTCTTAATTTATGGTAACCTGTTATACTTCCATTTTCATTGCACATCAGCAGAAAAAAAAAAAGATGCATCATATAGTCTTTCAAATAATTTTGTTTGTATTATATTTTTATTTTGTTTGTATTATATTTTTTGTTTTTTTCCCTTTTTAGAATTTCATTTTAATTGTTTGAGTTGCAAGGCTGAATTGTGTTTTTTCAAATAAATATTTTAAAATTTTCTATTTATTCATTTGAACTGTGTATTTTGAGAATATTTATTAATACAAATTTTAGAGAGTTTGATTTTATTTGACTTGTGAATTTTCTGTTTCAAAAAAATACTTCGCGATCTTCACTACGATGCATTTGACACTTGCATATACTGAACAAGAAAATACCCTAAAGCACAGTTAATAATCTTTCAATGAGGCATTCAGAAAAAATACATAAATGAAAAAGATGTATAACCGATGTTTTAATTTAAAATGAGTTATATACATTGCTTTACATAGTTTTATTTGTGCCACAGCTTTAAATTATTTTATCTTTTTTTAGTTTCTTAAAATATTATTCATACTAGTCATATATTTTTTTGAAATAGCAAGAATTAAAACAGAATAAGATTAGAAATTTTTTTATTTTTTATTTTAAATTTTAAGAAAATATTAAATTTTATGCAAAAAATATTTTCTTAATGCCTTGTCATTTTATTTCAAGCATTCTGTAAATATATAAAAAATCATCCATAATTTTTTTGTTCACCATGTACCACAAACAATTTCAACATCTTGGTATTTTAGACATTAATGTAAGTAAAGGTGTCGCTTTCTGTTTCATCAATACTTGGTCAGAAGCAACTTTTATCAAGCTAGGAAAGCAACTTTTATCATGCTACTGAATATCTTTAAAAGATAGTCATTCTGAAGGCAGAGATGAAAGTGGTTTCATCAGTAGGAAAAGTGTCTTTTAATGATACATAAACATCCTTGGATAAATTCTTGAATCATCAACTAATTCGACTAAGACTTCTTGGGATTCTCTATTTATGATACGATATGTTTTACAATGTAATTTTAAAAAATAGTCACCCTTCTCTTTTATATGTGACATTTCTTGTCTTTTCTGTTAGCACAGGCCTATTTGTTGCTCTTTCTTCAAATTTCCTTCTTTCTAAATTTGTTTTCAGTGTTGAACAAGAGTATAAAGATTTTTCAACAATTTCATTTTCATAAATTTTATATTCTTGTCAAACTCTTTCTGTGCATATTTTTGCCAATTGTATTCTTCACTTGTATTTTTGTTGATTCTTTTTTCATTTCTTTATGTCTTGCCAAAATTTTCAGTTGCATCTTCAGGGAGATTGCTATCTGTTTTCTAGACATTTTAGCTGTCAATAAAGTTTAAAACAAAGCCCAGAGGAGAAATATTTGAGTTAAAACATTTTCTTCAAACAACAAAGGAATAAAGCATCTCACAAACGTTTTTAGTCAGCAGAAGGCACAACTTATTCTATAGACCTAGTGACCAAAATTCTTATATCAAGCAAAAGCAATCTAAATCATATTATTTTGATAACTTTTAATATCAATAATTTCCATATTAAAGAGCATATTTTTTTACATAATCTATAATAGTATTAAGGAAAACTAGCAACTTGAAACATTTTTTGTCAGAGGATTAATGTAATATTTCATATATTTTTACTAAAAGCTGGGACATCACCCAAACTGTCGATCTCTTAAAACTTAATTTGTCTCATTAAATTTTAATTTGAAACTAATAGCTATAACACATGCATATACTTGCTTTTATGGAAAAATCTGATGTGTACACTACATGACTTCCTTGCATGCCTATTAAATTATAGGCATTTTTTGCTGCACATCATTTAAACTTATTCCCATAAATTATTCTAATTTAAATAATTGATCAGGCAAGCTGAAAATATCAAAAATCGCAAATTTTGAAATTAAATATTCCAGTCAATTTTTGTTGTATGGAGGTCAAATTTCTAGCATTTTTACTTTTCCATGACCAGTATAAATGACCCGGATATAACTATAGGACCTGGAAGACCAAATTAAAAGTTAGATTTTGTTATTTGGGTATTTGCTCAAAACATTGCGGACGAAAACATCATGGAAAAAACAATGCAAGACGAAAACATTGCAGTACAAAACATCATGGGAGAAAAGAAAGCAAAGAGAAAACATCGCAGTTCTAAAACAACGTGATTGAAAAAAAAAAGCAGATAAAAAACTTTGCAGTTTAAAAACATTGGCGTTGAAAATAACGTGGTAAAAAATAAAGTATCTACAAATCATTGCATGACGATAACATCGCATACATGAGTTTTCAAATTTTAAAAGTTGTAACTGCATATTTGCATGATTTGGAAGTGCAAGATGGAAAGAGGTATTCTCTTAATTCTATATTTCATATTTTTGAATAAACTACTAAATTTTTACTGAAAAAATAAGAAGGAAACTTAAGCATTTAAAAACTGAAAATGAGTAGAAAATTAATGCAACTTATAGAACTTCATAGAATTTTAAATTTACACGGTTAACAAAAGTCATTAATGAATTAACCTTTTTTATAAAGTTTTAATGATAATTTTTTTATGAAGAATACAGTCTAAAATTCCTTAGAAAAAGAAAGCTAAATAACTGCATGAGGCTACCTGCATAAAAATTGCTTAGTTAATTTTAAAATTATTTTCCTTTACATTTGTTTATCTGATATTGTTTTCTTGAAAACTATATTTTGTTTTATTTCCATTTATCCTTAAAGTGTTGTTAACATTTTCATGCATAGCTGGCAATCAACTTTTTGGATGACGATTTGTTAGTTATGACAAAAATCATTTACATAATATGTCAGAGTATGGGATTTGAAAAACACATGTGTGCAATGTTATCATCAAGTGATGATTTGTAGGTACTTTATTTCTTACCACGATATTTTCAACGATGATGTTTTTAAACTACAAAGTATTTTATCCGCTTTATTTTCGACCATGGTATTTTGTACCATGATGTTTTAGAACTGTGATGTTTTCTCTTTGCTGTCTTTTCTCCCACGATGTTTTGTACAGCGACGTTTCGCCTTGCGTTCTTTTCTCTGCGATGTTATCAGCTGTAACCGTTATTTGTCCCCCCCTTTTTTTTTTAATTTGAAATTGCCAAAAACACTTTTATAATTGTAAGAATATGTCTACGATCAATGACTGCAAAAATAAAAGCCAGGTAAGATAGTGAATGTGATATATATATATATATATTATATACATACTTTTGGTACTGCCAATTGCAATAAACAGGGAAGGGGCACAATTAGATGTTATAGGAGTCCCACATACAAAATTTAAATGTTCTATGGCTAATCCAGTTTGAATATATGGTTGTAAAATAAAATTCAATACAATTTAAAATCTGTTTTAGATGAGTCCTTTATTCTACCCACATATACAGGCATCATACAAAACAATACTCAAAATGGAATTGGGAATGGTCAAAATGGATATTTTCATTAATATATGAAACTTGAAATTTTTCGAAGTAAAAAAAGGCAAAGAATCAATCTAAATATAAAGAGGTTTCAATCAGCCAAAACCGAAGCAACTTGAGACACAAAAAATGTAAACTGAATTCCATTAGTCAGCCCAGTAAAATGGAAGACATCGAGCAGTTTGCAATTTTTCTCTTCTTTTTTTGGAGGGGGGGGGGTGGCTGTTCAATCTGAATTAAGGATGAATTTTGTTACTTAAGAGTGGCAAAACTCATAAAGAGTATCTGTGTAAGAAAAAGGATGCCTTCATGATGAGTTTTCTGGGGTGGGAAAGACTTATTTTACTTACACATGGTAAAAACATTGAAGCTCCAAAGAGTCCTCCATACAGCCACCTAAAACTGAATCTGAGATGACCTTACCCAAAACTGTTTCTGTGAGGAACCTGAACCTGGCAAATCTACAACCAGTTGTGAAACAAGTGATGTTTCGTAACAAACACTATACAGAAATCTGAAATCCTTTTTTCTAGAGGCTATTGATCTGTGAATTCATAATAAGCAATAAAAAAGTGTTCTACAGTTGATAGTGGCAATTGTCTTAAAATATAAGCAATTTATTAATCAAATGATGCCTAAATTTAGATTATACTAGTTGTTTAAATTCTTAAGTCTGGTTCTGGGTAAGTATTACTGCAGATTCTTAATTATCATCTTTTTTTAATACAACAGAACATTTTTTGCCTAGTTTGATTCGTTAAATATATTTAAAATAAAATTATAAGCTTTACTTATAACTTACAGCTTAAAAAATATCAATTTTAAAGCAATGTTATATAATAAAATCTCATCAACCTTACCAGCAGTACAAATATGACATGATGAATGGGGGGCCCATGCAATACCATTCACGCAAGCTCTGTGATTATTAAGTCTTGCAACAGGGGCACAAGGAGATCGAACATCCAAAATAATAACCTGTAAAACAGAAAGCATACTGACACTACAGAACAATAACTTAAAGACTTACTACATGTATGAAATATGACTATTTTCTAGTAGATTTCACTTCATAAATAAGTATGAATATATCAGGCAGTACCCTCCAAATCCATGCACATTTGATCAATTTAAGATTATGCTCACTTAAGCTAATAATATAAACATTTAAAAATGTATATTATTAATGTTTCATTAAATTAAAAACATACTACAAGGCATGAAGATTGTCGCTCAGGAAAATTTTAATAATTTAAAACAAGTTTAATTTTTAAATTAAGCAAACTTCAACTAGGATTCACATTGATTTTCAGGGAGGAAAAAATATTCTTGGTATATCCTGGAAATCTTGTTCAGATTTCTGTCTCTTTCTCTCCTCCCTTTTCTCCCCCCCCAAAAGAGATACAGAGAGCTTCTAATGCAAGCTGATAATGCATCCAGCTATTTTTAAAAGAACTAAAATATGCCTGAACTTGTAAATTATGCTTCATCTTACGGAAATCATAGTAAACTAAAAACACTAATTACAAAACTATCAATGTTTCTCCCTCACCTCAAAATTAATACATTAATACTAGTGAGAGTTCTCAGCTTTATTTAAAATTGTGATTAATTTACTTGACAATAATTAATAGAAATATAAATATGATATAATTAACATTAATTTTACAACATGAAAAATTCAATGATGTTAGCTCAGATTTTACCTCAGGCACCTAATACATTAAAAAGCAATTATCATTAGCAAATGGCAGTATTCATTGCCCAATTTAAATACACTAACTAAGATAAAAGTACTTAATGCAGAGGACTGTAATGTATTGAAAAGCCTTACTCGGCTTTTCAATACATTACTTATTTTTCTACCATAAAAAATATTCCATTTGTGTGTGGTGGGAGGCAGCAATATTTTTAGGACTTTGAATTCAAAATATTTTTTTCTCTTATAAACAAACTATAAAGATTTATTGATCATTACATTGTCAGCTTGTAGTAATTTTTAAATGTTGTTATAATATTTAAAACGGGCCAATTTAAAAATTTTGAGATACTGCAAGTAACGTGATTTAAACTAAATATGCCGTCAAAACAAATGAAAAAAATGAAATAATTCAAATAATTGTCTCCAGTTTATGTACATGTGTCTTAAACAGATTTCATATACGTGGGTTCTTTTGTTTTGCTATCACAATTCATTTTGTTTTGCTATCACAATTCATGTTAAAAAAAAACACATTTAATGAAACATTAATACATCTATAATATCATTCATCTATTAATACAACATCTATAACATCTCCTCTCATAAAACAAAGTGGCAACAGTTCTATCAATTTCACTCATGCAGTCAACAGCTAAAATTAGTGTGCGAGGAAAAATGTTAAGCTATGGATTTAAAATCCCAAATTTGGCCTTCCTGCTACGCATTAACCTTGACGACATTATTTTACTCTTGACATCATAAATCATTGGTATCTTATATCATCGTTGCCTTCGGTAAAAGCACCATCATCATGAATTCGCTGAAACCTGAAAAGAAATACGAAGAGAAAGAAAAAGATTGTGTGCTAAGGACAATATTGAACGGAAACATCTTAATTGTCCATCATCTTTGCAACTATAACATCATCAACAGTCCCTTCTATTTTTCAGAAAATTTCATCTAAATCAAAAAATATCTTCAAACTTTAACATTTTGGGAAAAGTTCATTTCATCTTAAAAATAACATTAACTGGAATAAAAGTCATTGTTAGGTGAAAAATCACAGTTGGGTTATCAGTTGTATCACTCCAGGTTTAAATGTCACACTCAGTATTTTTCTATACATCTTCTGCTTGGGCCCATAGTTTTATGTATCCAGCACATGCAGTTGTTTCTGTGGGTACTTCACGATCTCCTTCTTTTACAACATCACAGGTGTAATTATTCTTTATTTTGATAATCTTATATGGGCCTAAATACTTTGATTTTAACTTTAGGTTTGATCCAAATTGAGTTCTTTAGATTGCTACTAAATCATTAATTTCATAACATTTTGGAGAAGGTCTTCGAAAGTTGTGTTTTCTTTCTGCACCTTAAATATTTGTTTCTTTGCATTTTTCCAAAATTCTTGTCGTTAAATTTCAAAAGCATTTTTAATTTCTGCATCAATTATTCCTTTAAGATTAATATTTTCTGTTACAGAAATGTAATCAGTATCTGCTTGTAAAGTGGAAGCATTCCGTTTCCTTACTCAAGATATAAAAAAATCTTATGTGTACACCACATGACTTCCTTGTACGGAATATTAAATTATACGCATTTTTTCTTGCATTTCATTTAAATTTATTGGATTGAATTAAATCTACTTCGCCCACAGCGCATAAACCACAATAGAATAAATGCATTCTTTAAAATCAACTATATCTGTTTACCATATCGACACTCTGGAGTTAGGTTCACTTAACAGCGTTACATTTCGTCCATATTATAACTCAGAATGCACAAAATTTATATCATTTAAAGAACTATCTAATCGTTGCCACTTGTTCTATTCAAATACTATAATAAAGTTAGAATGATTTATAAAAGAAATTAAGCAAACAAAAAAGAAACAGTTTTTCACAGACGCTGAGTACTTCTCCTTCAATTAATTCAATTCTCACTTCGCGACAAGGCAAAAATAGATAAAACTCAAAATATCTGTATTAAAAATTACGAAGTAAATCTTAAACACTTATTTCCTCGAAAAAATTCCCGAAAGGATTAAGCATGATTTAATTCGCAATAATAAATGAAGGCGTTATCTTTATTGTTGTGAGGCTAAGTTTCTCTAGATTGGCAACAAATCCACCATTCCGCTGTTTCAAATGTAAATAAGCAATGACGGCCATCGAAAACCTTATTAGGCTTAGCGGCACTTAAGCAACATTTAAAATTGTTGATAATTCTAAAACTATTGCATTCATGATTTAACTAAAGGCATAAAAACCTTAACCCAGAAGATAAGAACCAACATAATTCAATCATTTTTAAAGCAAAAAATGCGTACAATTTACAAACATATAAGAGTAAAGAAACTGAGATCACTGAGCCGGGTAACAAGAGTGGATATATATATAAATATATTTATATATGTTTGGTGCAGCCGATTGCAACCAAAATACGAGGTTCACATCTACATGTTATAGCAGTCCTATATACAAAATTTCAACGTTCTGAGGCTACTCGTTTTTGAGTTATGTGAGATATGTACGAACGTATGCAGGTACGTACATACGTTCGTACAGACACCACGAAAAATTCTCTTCAGAATTCATTTTAAAACAGTTTTATAATTTTTTTGGAGGAAAAGAGTCTTTTATTCTGTTCTTACATACAGATATCACGCAAAAATATGCCTCCTGAAACTTTTCGTGATTACAATACTTCCTTTTTACTTTGTACAAGGAAGTAACTAACAGCTGATATTGCTTTAGAAAATCTTGTTTTGGGCTAGAAGGTTCTTCAAGGAATCATCTACACCTCTTATATGACCTTGTCTTAGGTTTAGTTGATTCGTAAGTTGAAGTCACACTTTAGATGGTGTTGGAAAAGCAACAGCACCACAAAGGTCTCCATAATGTTCCCAATCATCAGCCTCAAGAATTTCTCGCAAGTGACGAAATTTTTCATCGGTAATACACATCTTTCTTTCCAGTTCTGCTTGTTTGTCAGATAATCTCTTCTCCATCATTTTTCTCATGCGATCCTTTACAAAAGCTAGTATTTCTTGCATTTTCAATTTAACATGTTGAACTTTTTTTTCTTGTTCAGAGAAGATTTTATCTTTAGTGCTCATCTGAAATTTTGCGACTTCATTCTTGGCATCTGATAGTTGTTTCTGTAACATTTCTACAGTCTGTTCTGATACAGAAAGTTTTCTTTCCAAAAATCTAACTTGTTCATGAGCATCCAAATCCATTTGTACAATAGTTTTTTCCGGTTTTAATTTTTCTTTACCTATAATTGGTAAACATTTGGGTCTCAAAGAAATAAGTTGGCCATCTTTTAAAAACTACACATTTTAATATTAGAAGTTTTTCCTTTGACTTGTCTTCCCTTAGGTTTTTCAGACATACCTAGATCCAGTTCTTTAGCTGGAAGTTTCTCCTGCTGTTTACTCTTTCTTAATATTGATATTTCTGTTTCACCAGCATTATATTCAACTAAATTCTCGTATTCTGAATTCTTTCTTTTTCTAGAACTGTTTAGCCTTGAAGTTTTTTGGAATCATTAATTTTTTCATTACTCTCTTTGATTTCCAGAACTTTCTTACGTGGATTTTTTCTTCTTCCTTTAGGAATGGAATTCGTCCCTTCCTCTACATTTTGCAGTTTTCCTTTCCCACTTTTAACATCACTTTTTTCTTCCTGAGACTCTTCTTCCTTTAATTCATCTTTAACTGTATCTGTTTCTTTTGCAGGTTCTCAGTTTTATTAGCAATATAACTTTTAATTAAGTGTTTTCCTTCTGACCTATATTCTTTATTAATATCCGAATAATTATCTAATTCATTTTCTCGATCTGCATTTATATACATTAAATTCCATTCAGTTTCATATTCTACTACTTTCACAGGTATCCTGCTCTTGTTTATAATAATTTCCATTTGCGAAAGCTATTCGTTTCCAATAACAGCATTTTCATTCATTGTTCCTTGAGGCACAACATAAATATTTGATTTAATTTCACAATCATCAATTCGTATGGAACCTTTAAAATAACCAATAGGTTTTACTTTATTATTACCAAAGCCTACAAGAATCAAATTGGAAGAATTAATATTAGGTGAACCAATTACTTTATAAATATTTTCCGATACTATACTTACGTCGCTTCCTGCTTCAATGAGAGCTTTTACTTCTGCATTATCTATCAATATAATTTTATGCATATCATTTAACTGCTTCTTCACAAATAGATGATTGACTCTGGCAAGATCTGTTATATTTGTCTTAATTTTCATACATTCTGCGGCTATGTGTCCAAATAAATTACAATGAAATCATTTTTTTTCCCTTACTCTAATTTTTGCAGAAATTCTCCGCGTGACCAAGATTTCCACAGCAACGACTATTTCTTTTTATTTTACTTTCAAAATGGTCGCTTCTGGTTTTAGAATTAGGCTTGACAGATTTGTTTCTTTTTCTAATTTAATTTTTTCATGTATCTTAAGTTTTTCCTAAAATTCTGCCAAAGTTTTACAATCATAAAGAATAGCTTTATTATGTGCAGAATCGTTTATACCATTAACAACATATTCAATTAAAGCAGTGTTTTCAATAATAGGTATTAGAACATAAGATTTTTAATTACCAAAAAATATTCACATAGAGATTCTTTTCCCTGCATTTTATATTTTGATAATAATTCGTGTAACTGAGCAGAGTTATACTGAACACCATATTCGTTTACTAATAAAGCCTTCAGTGCATTGCACGAATTAATTTTCATTTCACTTTCAATAAATAATTTTGTTTTGCCAGTTAAAGATCTTTTGACGAATATCAGTTCCTGTAATTCATTTAGTTTTAACAAATTAGATACATCCTCAAAGTTTTCAATGAATTTGTCAACCGAATTATAAGGATTACCCTCAAATTTAAAAATCAAACTTTCAATATCATTAAAATTTATATATGCATTTGAAAACTGTGAAAACGGAAATTGAACTGATGACTTACTAATATTCTTTTTTACCTCATAATCTTCATCAACAAGAGCAAAAGTAGTGTCGTTGAAAATTCGAGCAGTTGCATCGATTTCACTATTAGCAGAAGTATTCCTTCTTTCCTCCAGTATTGCTTCATATTCCTCTATTTGTTGCTTGTAATTTGATCCCAATTCTGACACCATTTTTGTGGGTTCTTTTGTTTTGCAATCACAAATCATGTTCAAACAAAACATATTTAATGAAACATTAATACATCTATAATATCATTCATCTATTAATACAGCATCTATAACATTGTATATCTATTAACACAACATCTATAACATCTTATATCTATTAAACACAACATCTATAACATTTCCTCTCATAAAACAAAGTGGCGAGAGTTCTATCAATTTCACTCGTGCAGTCAACAGTTAGACAACAAATGCAGACAACAAAATTAGACAGTGCGCGAGGAAAAATGTTAAGCTATGGATTTAGAATCCCACATATATAATCATAATACTTCATACTTCAGAAGCATCCATGGCAAATGTTGCTAGGTAGTTGGGGTCTTGTTTATTCCATGCAAGACGCAACAAAGGATGGTGTTGTGGATCTTCATATATTATGGTAGAATGCTCCAAATGTCTTAGATCAAACATTCTAACAGATCCATCAGCCCCTGTTAAAAAAAATTAATATGGAAATGCAACTAAAAATATTAATAAAAATTGCACAGAACTGCAGGAAATATATGGGAAGTATTTTAAATGAATAAATAATTAATTAAAGGACCTCAGTAACGCAAACAAGGGTGTCAAAGATTAACTTTCAAAATTCAGTCATGCTTTAGAAATCAGTTGCAGTTTTCAAAATTCAGTCATGCTTTAGAAATTAGTTGCAGTTAATCACATGACAAAATTTGCAGTTAACCATGTAAAAGTAAGAATGACAATTTAAAATAATAAAAAAAGATTGCAATTTGTATTTTCGCTAGCTTTCACTAATTACTTTCAGTAATACTAATATATATTTCTCTTTTTAATGTATATTTAGGATGCAACAGGCAAGGTAATTGTTAAGTCATTAAGACTATTTAACTGTAAGATTACGTCATTTTTTTCTCTTCTTCGCGCCTTGCATGGCGCAGATGTTCATTACAGCAACCATGTAAACGCTTACTCAGTTTTTTTTTTTTATTGCTGTTGTTGTTAGTAGTAAGTCATCGCTTGAAAGATGGCACGCATTTGATTAAAGTTGTCGAATAAAATATTTAGTACAATCCACTTCTAGTTAATTTGAAATTGTTGTATAACAACGTATGCATCGCATGAACACTTTATGGCCCGCCGAGCCACAGGTAGAAGATATCGTTGCTAAAATTAACTTTTTAGAACATTTGTAATACTTTCGTTTGGTTGTATTACGCATAACTTCATATAGAGTGTTTGGAATGCTTTCGTTTTCGTGTGGATTACGCAATTAAGATTGGATACTGTGTCATCGTTCATTTCCGGTGTTGCTGTCGAGAAATCTGCAATCACGGTAAGTGATAAATTATTTATTTGTTCATGATGAGTGAATTGAAAGCGATTAAAGCTAACAAAAAAAGTTTAAAATGCAGTATCAGAAAGTTTGAAAATAAGGTAAATTCTACAGTGGATGAAGCAGATATTTCCTTATTGGAGTTATACGAATCAAAAATATTAGAATTTAAAAAGGAATTAAGTAACATTTTCGATTCTTTATTTGCACATTGTGAAGAAAAGGACACTGACGAATTCATTAAGGAAAAGGAAAATGTAGTAGATAATCTCGATGAAATTCATTTGAAAATTAAAAGAAAAATTTCTGAGATCCGTTCTCAAAGGAATAGCTGCTCAAATGAAAACGGTTCGAGTAAAGACATAATTGTTTCGGATATAAAATTGCCTAAATTGTCTCTTCCAATATTTAGTGGGAAAATCGAAGAATGGATTGAATTTGAGGATTTATTTTCCGCAGCTGTGCATAAAAATAGCAAATTAACTAATGCGCAAAAATTGCAATATTTAAAGAGTTCGTGTAAGGCAGACGCTTTAAATATTATTCAGTCCATTCCAATTTCAGATTCGAATTATGACATAGCATGGAATCTGTTGGTTGATCGCTATTGCAACAAAAAAGATTTGATCAATTCTATCATAAAGAAATTAATTTCTATACCTCAAACGAGTGATTCTACTTCGTCGCTTTTAAAATTTATCGATAAGGTGCATGAATGTTTACGATCCTTGGAAGCATTGGAGCAAAAGGTGGAAGAATTTTCAGACACGTTAATTGTTTATTTATTAGTTGAAAAGTTGGATAGAAATACTCGGTGTTGGTGGGAAAGGTCACTTAAAAAAGACGAGATAGGAACGGTTAAACAACTGACATGTTTTTTGAAGGAACACGCTCGCACCCTATCACATTACAAACCTCCGCATGGGGAATCGAAACGTTCATTTAATACCAAAGCTCTTACATCACTTTCGGAAAATTCAAAAAATTGTCCTTATTGTAAAGCTGATCATTTATTGTTGAAATGTGCGCAATTCTTAAATCTAACAGTCAAGAAACGATTTGAATTTGTAAAGACAAAAAAAAACTTTGTTTCAATTGTTTATCTTCGGTCCACACAATCAAGGACTGTAAAAGTTCTAATACATGCAGAAAATGTCAGAAATTTCACAATTCGCTCTTACATTTTGATCGAAATGAAGAAAATTTCGATAAAGCAAATGGCACATCGAATCAAATCACAAACAAGACTAATAAATTAAGCAGTAATCTTTCTCCAAATGCTGATACATTTACTCCAATGGCAAGCAGCCAAAAGGTTAGTGACACTAATGAAACCAACCAAGCAAAGTCCATTAACGGTACTGCGTTGAATATTTGAGTTCTCTTAATAAACAAGTTCTACTTTCAACTGCAGTTATTTTCGTTAAGGGTAATGATGGAAAATTTATCTCGCTGAGAGCCTTGCTGGATTCCGGTTCTCAAAATAATTTCATTACTAAAGAAGGTGCTGAGTTATTGAATTTGAAGAAAAGAAAAATAAACGCTTCTTTTTCAGGTATCAATGGTACAGTTATGGGTATTAAGGAAAAAGCTATAGCAACCATCGCTAACGCTACTAGAGATTTTATTCGTACCTTACAATTTTTTGTTGTTCCAAAAATAACTTGCGTAACGCCTGCTAGATATATAAACATTCCTGATGTTAAGCAGTAGCAACTCATTGGTTTAGCTGATCCAGAGTTTTATAAACCTGGTCAAATACATGTTTTATTATCTAACGAAATATTTTTTGATTTACTGGGAACAAATAGAATAAATATGCAAGACCTGATTCTCTATCAGTCAATTTTTGGATACATCGTTAGTGGGTCAGTACGCATGCCGCAGCAAGGCAGTGTTGATAATTTTTGTGGGTTTGTGGAAAATGGGGATAAACGCTTACTCAGTTTTTTTTTTTATTGCTGTTGTTGTTAGTAGTAAGTCATCGCTTGAAAGATGGCACACATTTGATTAAAGTTGTCGAATAAAATATTTAGTACAGTCCACTTCTAGTTAATTTGAAATTGTTGTATAACAACGTACGCATCGCATGAACAGTAATAAAGATTATTATCTTAAATACTTAGTAATTAATCATAGTCACTAGGATAGCCTAATGGGCTTTAGTATAATGCTATAAATTTAAATCCAATCCTTGAATATTGCAGATGCTGATCTTAACTAAGAAAGTACTATAAAATTATCAAACTAAAAAAGTTTTAAATTCACAGACGGAAAAAATTAAACAACTTTTAACGTATTATGATCTAATTTTTAGAGTCAAGCAAAATACACATGTTCCAGAGGATCTATAGAAATACTAAATAAAAGCTATCTAACATTATAATAAATATAAAGTTTCTATCAGACCAAAAATATTCTCCTTGAATTTAAGCATGCATTTATTTATTATGTATACCATCTGCTAAAACATCAGTTCAAAATTTTGGGCTTTACTCACCAACACTAGCAAACATATCTTTTCCACCTCCAGCACGACTAAAGGCAATGTCATAAACTTCTTTATCATGAGCTATTAGCTGTGTTTTTACATGCCCAGACACTACATTTACACGACTTAGCAACTGCCCAGTCTGAAAATAAAAGTACAAACTCAACTGTAGTTAATCTTTCTAAACAGTAAAAAAGTTCTAAACAGTAAAAGTAAGTACAATATTAATGAAACTATTTTGATTTGAAACAAAATGCCACTTGAAATTTTTATCACAAATAAAATGCAGATATAAGCCATTACACTGACAAAACAACACGCATAACATTCTAAACCGCAAAAGTTTGATTAAAAGAAAAATCTGATGTGTTCACCCCAACTTTCTTGCACGGAATATTAAATTATATGCATTTCTTGCTTCATTTCACTTAAACTTATTTTCTTGAATTCTATTAGAGATATAGTTCTCATTCAATTGATCCAGTTCTTACTTTGTGGCAAGAAAAAATAAATAAAAGCTCAAAATATCTTTATCAAAAATTGAAAAAATATAAAACACCTAATACAGTTAAAACAATTTTTACAATTAAAATTAGAGTTTGTATGCAAAAACAAGCAACTCGGCTAGCAGGCAAATTTTTCGTCGCACAAAACTGAAAATTTACTTTTGGTCCCATTTAGTACATATATGTAATATTAAAAGCACAAGGGAAAGAAATGCCGGAGTGTCGATGCTTGCTTAGATCCATATTGAAGAAGAATTTTGATTGCGTAGTATCAAAAGAACTTGGCAATCGTGGCAGTTTTAATTTCATTTTTATTTGCAATTGATAGTTGTGGCCACAACCACTTGGCACTCTAGTCATGCCTTTCTACAGAAGATTTACCGCAGCAAAATTACATCTAAGCACAGTAAAGAGCAAAGCTGAAGTGCGTAGTTATGAGAGATGGAAGCACACGAAGAGAAAAGTTTTGGTTTGCAATTTGATGATTGGTAAAGAGGCATCTGCATTAAGGGTTACGTAAAATTGCATGATTAATTTTAATGATGCAGTCTAGACTAAAGTGCTATTTTTAGGACAGAGAGATGAAGTTCTCAATTGAAATAGAAAATAAGAGTTTATAGTGAATTAAATTTAGAAGTTTGCTTTCATATTTTTTACCTTACATTATATAAAATATATATATATATATATATATATATATACATATATTTATGTAATGATTTCAAATGCGTAGATGACCGAGAAGACCGTAGTGGTCTTGATTGGGAATTCAAATGAATAGTTACCTTTTTTATTTATCCATAGCATGGATGAAAAGCATCTTACCATATTTCACCATGCTGTGCATTGACCTTGATTCAAACACTTTTTGTGATTCTGAACGATACTCGATGATTTTCAAAGCACTTTCTGAATATGCGTTAAATCACACACGAAAACGAATTTGATGATTCACTGGAAGTTTTTGAGGCAGCAGCAGAGGAGGTCGAAATCCATTCGGGAAAAACTTGCACTAGGTTAATCCTGTCCTGACTTTTTATAATATATGTAATGATTTCAAATGCGTAGATGACCGAGAAGACCGTACTGGCTTGATTGGGAATTCAGATGAATAGTTACCTTTTTTATTTTATCCATTCGTTAAACGATGTGAGATTAGATGAAATAAACTGCACTGAAGTTCCACGCCTGTAGGGTCCAAAATCGGCTGTGCCATATTGTTGTAATGAAACTGTGGTTTGAAGGTGGCAGAGTGGAAAGCATGATGACGCAATTTAGCACAACACACCTTGAAAAATCACAATCTTTATTTTTTCCATGCATATCAAATAATCCTTTTTCAGACAAGATATTTCTTAATAATATTTGAATAGAATAACTCCCATTTTGAAGTATGACGTCATCTTAAGCAAGTAAGCGGCAGCAGCATGGATGAAAAGCATCTTACCAGCAGGAGAGCTAACGCCGAAAAAAGGAAAGGTTATAGTACTTTCATAGGAAGAAGGCTGGGAGTGGGGAAGTTTCAGTTCACAGTTTTGGTTTAGAATTAATTTGATTGGACAAGAGGTATCTGCATTAAAACGTTACGTAAGATAGAAAACTCTGGAACCTGTGAGAAGAGATTAATTTAGGGGCAGATTACCAAATTTAGAATGTTAATTTTGAGGTCGTCCAAATATTTTTTTTAAAACAGCTATCATATTTTGTTATATCTTACATATCCCTCCCTTCAAAAGAAAGGTTGTGGAGCAGAGTGAGCAGGGTGGGGAAAAAAAACATTAGAGCAGCAAAATGTGAACGATATAATTGTGAAAATACAAAATATATTAACTTTTTTTTTAACAAAAAATTATTGTCATAAAACTTTGACCGATATTTTAACTCAATTTGACATTTCACTGAAAGTCATAAAATTTTGAATTCAATTATTAATTTTAGCACTGTATTCTTTTAAACAGAATAGTATTTTTATTTTAAGAGTTCTGAGATGCAAGAATGTACAATGAAATTTTGTAAAGTTCTTGATAGTTCCACACGGTAAAAGTTCAAATTTTTTCAAAAAGTAAATGTTCAAATAAGTTCTTTCCAATTTTTGTTGATGAAAATATTTTTATTATAATACAAATTAAGATGCCAACTTTCATGTTTTTAATTATGTTTTTCAAGAAAGCATTTATCATAATATACCGTAATTTCTGGAAGAAAGGCCACATCATTCATAAACACAATTTCAAAATTTTTCACTATTATTACGACATTTAAATTTACTTATTCTTTACAAAACTTGAAGACTCCCAAACTTTATCTAAATACTAGCATTTCCATCATATTGGGTTTATCAGTTGAGCAAACTGGTGTTTAATATTCTTCACCAGTGGCCAAAAGATTTGCCAAATTAGCAGCGTTACTGTAGAAAAAAGGCCTCCGTTCCTTCCGTAGAGGCAACTGGCCTTTTCGAACTGCTGTCATTTCCATTGTAAAAATTAAAAACACACTCCATTTTATGAAAAAAATACATACTTATATTAATAAAAAAGGTAATTTTTCATAATGTGAGAGCCTTCAACATTAAATTCTTGAAAACATTAAAGAAATTTCCTGCAACTCAAATTTAAAATTTCAAACAATAAATTCATTCTCTAACATACAGTAAAAATTAAAAAATATAAATTCATAGAAACTTAAACAATAGTACAAAATTCTTATTAGGATTAGAAGCCTTCCCTAAGTAAAAACGTCAAATTCTTTACCTAATTTTTGTCAAATTCAATAATTTTTTTTCCCAATTCAGAAATACAAAACTACATTTTACAATAAATGTATAAAATTTTTGAATTATTTAACTTTGATCTTAATAATGATTTAAGCAAAATATTACCATCAATAAATCATAAAACAATAACTTAAAAATGCAAAGTTTCTTTTAATTCCCGAAACGAAAATTTACTCAATTTGGAACTATCACTATCCACTTCACTATCTATCACATTTCATGACTTTTGATAATATTGCATTTTTTGAATATGAAGAATTAGCCGACTAAAGCGCTGTACATACAAGAGAGCACAAAATACTATTTGGCATTTCATATTTCACTGATGAGGTTGATGACCTTCAAAGCACTTTGGATGTTTAATTTTCTTTTAATGCAATGCTTGGAAATGAATAAACACTGTAAATATTCGAAGCGAGCGACTTAAAGCACTTTGGATGTTTTTCTTTTTACGCGATGATTGGAAATGCATAAACATTACGAATATTCGAAGCAAGCAAGAAACATTAACCATATTTCACTATGCTGTGGCATTGACCTTGATTCAATACACTTTTTGATTCTGAACGATACTCCATGATTTTCAAAGCACTTTCTGAATATGCGTTAAATCACACACCGAAAACGAATTTGATGATTCACTGGAAGTTTGAGGCAGCAGAGGTCGAAATCCATTCGGGAAAACTTGCACTAGGTTAATCCTGTCCTGACTTTTTATAATATATGTAATGATTTCAAATGCGTAGATGACCGAGAAGACCGTACTGGCTTGATTGGGAATTCAGATGAATAGTTACCTTTTTTATTTTATCCATTCGTTAAACGATGTGAGATTAGATGAAATAAACTGCACTGAAGTTCCACGCCTGTAGGGTCCAAAATCGGCTGTGCCATATTGTTGTAATGAAACTGTGGTTTGAAGGTGGCAGAGTGGAAAGCATGATGACGCAATTTAGCACAACACACCTTGAAAAATCACAATCTTTATTTTTCCATGCATATCAAATAATCCTTTTTCAGACAAGATATTTCTTAATAATATTTGAATAGAAATAACTCCCATTTTGAAGTATGACGTCATCTAAGCAAGTAAGCGGCCAGCAGCATGGATGAAAAGCTGAAAGCATCTACCAGCAGGAGAGCTAACGCCGAAAAAAGGAAAGGTTATAGTACTTTCATAGGAAGAAGGCTGGGAGTGGGGAAGTTCAGTTCAGTTCACAGTTTTGGTTTAGAATTAATTTGATTGGACAAGAGGTATCTGCATTAAAACGTTACGTAAGATAGAAAACTCTGGAACCTGTGAGAAGAGATTAATTTAGGGGCAGATTACCAAATTTAGAATGTTAATTTTGAGGTCGTCAATTATTTTTTTGAAACAGCTATCATATTTTGTTATATCTTACATTTATATACTTTTGGTGCGACCAATGGCAAACAAAAAGGGAGGTGTACAACTACATGTTATAGCAGTCCTATATACAAAATTTCAAAGTTCTGAGACCACTCATTTTTGAGTTATGCAAGATAAGATACATACATACATATGTACATATAGACGTCATGAAAAAAATCTCTTCTGAATACATTTTAAATCCTTTATGCAACCTGTTTTGGGAAAAAGAGTCCTTTATTCTGTTCTTATGTACACATGTAATGCAAAAAAAAAAATCGTTAAATTGTATTCGATAGCTGTGAAAATGGAAATTTTCGCTGAAATATGATACTCGAAAGTTTTTGCGATTACAGTACTTCCGCTACTTCATACAAGAAAGTAAAAATCGAATATTAACCCATGCAATAATAAATTAGTTAATTACTTTTTTAAAATAATACTATGAAAAGAAAGTCCTGCTTCAAATAAACTATGAAAATAAGGAAGTATACCAGAAATAAAATTTTTAAAATATTTATAAAGTGAAGAAAGTTTTTAGATTTGCTGAACTTTCCAAACACATGATTTTTGAACTTTAAACATTCTGACTGAAAATTAAAGCACTATCATTGAAAGAAACCCAAATTTTAGAATTTGCAACACTTACCATAAAATGTTTAATATGATTGCTTGTTTGTTTAGTTAAGTATGGCAAAGCACAAAAACATTACTTTAGGGAAGAATGCCCTTATAATGAACTTTATAAGAGAAATTTGCAATTAAAGATGATCAAAAGATATATTTTTCATTTACTGTAATACTCCTAAAATGAAAATAAAAAATTTCTTCTGCTCATTCAGATTCCTCCTGATCCATGAAAATTACTTTTTTTTTACATTTACTTAACAATCCACATCTTAAAATAAATTACATTTCATAAACTTTACTCATTTACGACATACATGTAACTTGTAAAATGCTAAATTTTTACACCAAAGACCATTCAGAAACTAGATAACAAGCAAGTCTGATACACAGTATCATAATCTTAATGCTTTGGTTTAATAATTTGGTTATAACAAGTCGTCAGTACCTAGGTAATAACTGTCATGCTTCCATTAAGCCAAGGATTAACAAACTGAACAAACTCTTCTGTAGTTTGTAAAATTGATTTTATTCAATACAATAAAGCAGCAGTTCTCAACCTTTTGACTAACACGTACCATCTAAACAAAAACTGAAAAACTTTAGTACCACCACAACATTTTATAATGAATATTTTTCAATTTCTCAACAGAAATATTATGAACAAAATATGTATTTTACCATTAGTACAGCCTATTATCTATTTGTATTAAATATAAACACATAAAAAAATTAAATTAAATTATAACACTTTAATTCTAAAATTTAGTGTGAAATTTGGGCCTGTTTAAGAAAGATTAATGTCTTTATGTTTTCATTTATTTTACTTAGTTTTAATTGTAAATTAGGATCCACTTTTAATTTTATTCTGTACTTATTTTTCAAATGTAACATGGAAGAAAATCCTTGCTCACACAAATAGGTTGAGCAAAAAGGCAATAAAAATTTAAGTTTTATTTAAAATGCCTTCTTCTTCTTCTTCTTTTTTTTTTTTTTTTTCTTTCTTTTCTTCCAGCCAAACATTACCAAAAGTGTTATTTTTGAAATCTTCACTTAAGAGTTAAATAACAGGAAATTTCTATCAACTGTTTTTTTTTTCCTCCATGAGATAAAATTAATTTTAACAAAATGGATTTCTAATTCAATTTTCTTTTCCATAATCTTTGGGAAAATACATGTTGAAATTATTTATCAATGAAAAACTTTTTTTTTTTTTTTTTTTTTTTTTTTGTCTGATGCTAATTCATTTTTTATTTTCAAATTATTTTCGGTTAGGAAAATTTTTAAAAGTGGTAAAAAAGCTTAAAATATTATTATCCAATTCTTTGATAAAGAGTTTTTTATTATTGCATTTATTTTATCTCTAATGGTAAACAAATTAACACTGTCCTTGTAATCCTAAATTTAATTCATTTAACTTTCCTAAAATATCAAGTAACATGCTAAATGCTCCAACCATAATTCACTAAACATTTTTTTAATTCAAATTTTGATACACAGATTAAAATTTGAATTTCTGATCGAAGTTAAAAGAAGATGGCCTCTGAATAACCACCTTACTTCGGAATGTAACAAAAGTGTTTCATGTTCATTGTCCATCTCTTGGCATAAAATATTGTCACTGCATATGGCATTTATTCAAAGGAATATCATTCTCAGACATAAAATTGTCAATTACTTTGAAAATTTCCTTTGGAGCTCTATCATGAGGAGATTAATAAAATAAATATTCTTCGGCAATTCCTTTATCTTCATTGAAACGTATGCAAATTAATAATTGAACAACATTCATTATATCAGTACTTTCATCTAACTGTAATGCAAAATACTCACTATGTTTCATTTTTTTGAATAAGTGTCTTTTTTGTGGAATTTGCAATTTCATGAATTCGTCGATTTACTGCATCATTTGATAACAGAATATTATTAAGTTTATTTAGCCACCTTTTTTTGTTGAATAATGCTAAAACGATGTTTTTAACTGCTGGTAATACAAGGTTTTCTCCAATAGTGTGAGCCTGCCCAATCTCGGAAATTCTTAGGCTTACCATGTAGCTTGCTTCCAAAGCTTTTCACTTGATGTAACAAACCCTTTCATTACCCTTTCTTTATTTTTGAATTCCTTTACTATTTTTTAATTTCCTTTTAAAATATTCTTCAGATTTATTGTTAAATTGGCATGCTTAGATTCAAGGTGATTCAAGGAAACAATAGTTTCATACTTTGATTGGTTAATAGTTCATCGCAAATAACAGACTGAGGTTGAGGGTTCATTTCATCTCCATTCCAAATAAACCTAAATGATAAATAGCATTTATTTTATTTTCCATAAAGAATTTTTCTTTTCTTTTTCAGTATTTTTAGTGCTAGTAGATTGTACTAGATCCATCACCTGTGAATCATCACTTTTGCACTTAGTCAATCCTAGCGATTTTTCCATTTTGAAAATCTAGTTTTGTTTAATTATTTTGTCACAAATATTTTAATGCACAATATATTATGAGTTGTTTAAAAAAAAACAATTCTCAAATTGCATAGAAAAGTAAGGAATACAAAGCAACAAGAAGACAAGAAACCTGCTGTTAGAGACAGCAAATCGACGTAAAAAAAAATTATTCTAATTGAAAATAGAGCAATATGATCCCAGAAATGATGACGACATAAAATGTAAACATACTAATAAATCGATGAACTCTAAAAGAATTGATGAGATACTGTTATCTTTTTATAGGAATTTCTTTTTATTTCCTATTAAATACAACATCCATTTCTATTACTCCTTTTAAAAACATCATTTATGAAAAATTTTGTTGTCTATGGCTATATTTGTGAAAATAAAAATGGATTACTTTGCTGAAGTCTATGAGTGACTATTGACCTTGAAGAAAGCTCATATCACCTAAATTTATGAGTGTTACAGAAAAAGCTTAAACAGAATGTTAAGGTACTTAATTTTTTAATCTAATAGTTAAAAAATGCTTTGTTTCTTTGCATACTACCTATTTTTCTCTTGCGTACCACTGGTTGAGGATCGTTACAATAGAGATTTCAAGTAAAAAAAAAAACTAAACTTTAATTTCACATATTAGAACAAAAAATAATACACATAAAGTAAGAAGGCAAGCTATTTTGAAATACGGTTAATTTTATACGATACATTAACTTAATTTTTTAATAACTGCCTGAATTAATATATTCATCTCAAATTAGAATAATTCCTGTATTATTCTAATTTACAGAAAGTATAAAACTCTCAGTATAACTTAACAGAAAGTACAAAATCTCAGCAATGATCAGATGACAAATGAAAACATTAGTTACATAATTTTACACAATACTTTTTATCTAAAACCAATTGTTCAATTATATCTTATTTTCTACAATCAACAACAAACTTTATGAAATTTAATAATTCTATGCTGACAGAATTAATCTAATGAAAATAAGACTTGGCTGTATTAATTTAAAAAAGTTTGTTTTTGGGTATTTATTAGAAATTAACAGTCCTAAAAAAGGTCTTCTAACTTGACTCGTATTTTAGCTCTAACTACAAGCATTCTAAAGCTATATTCAGAATCTCAGGCCAGAAGATTTAAATTGCAAAATCCTACACAGGATTTTAAAAATTTGATCAGGCTTATATATAAATATACATAAAAGCAGGTCATGGCACAGAGTATGCTTAAATTGAAGAATGAAATAAAAGTGATTAAATACATTACCTCAAGTCCCCATATAGTACACGTTGTATCAATACTAGATGTACCCAGAAGATTAGGTTCAACTTCATTCCAATCAAAAGAAGTCAAAGGTGCACAAAAATCAGAATTCTTATTCTGAAATCAAATACAAAGTTTTTTTAATTCAAATTTAATTTAATTATGAATAAAAAAAATTATGTATCATCAACTTAAACAGCAATTGAATCACCGAATTTTTTTTCCTATAAATGATAATCAGTAAAACCAAAACGTAAGGTAAAGATTACTTTAAAACCATTGTTTATTGTATGGGAGATTTGATTAGATTATTACATTATATTTTTTGTATGGATACAGAAAGCATGTATACACACTATATGTAGTATGTTGTTTCCATTTCAATTATTGCACCCACGAAAGGCTGAAGTCGGTCATAAATGAAACTTGAATATTTTACATCATTGCCATAGAATACATTACAAATAATTGAATTTTGTTATTAATTTATAATTGAAAAGATGCAGGATTATAAGTGAATTGTTTTACAGAAGAAAAAATAAACATGTTGATATATATATATATATGTGTGTGTGTGCGTGTGTGTGTAAGATATAAGAAAATACAATAGCTGCTTTAAAAATAATTGGCAACCTCAAAATTAACTATTTTAGATTTGATGCTCTTGCCATAAATTCATCTGTTCTCCCAAATTGGAGATCCTTCTATGTTATGTAACAACCTCAGATTAGCTGTAACTTATACATCAGACTTCGTATAAATACTCTTGGCACAATAAACTAAGTCATTATTCCCTTCCCTAACTGCCGCTCTGTCAAAACTGCCTTGCTTTATCTTGCTTAAATGCTTTGTCATTTCTTTTAAAAAACAAAGGTACACTGCACAAAAAAAGGGGGGACAGTTCTATATCTTCCGTTCTACTGGGCCGATTGACGAAATTCAACTTGCGATTTTCATGTCTCGAAAGTGCGACTTAGGATATGTATTAGATTTATATACGGCATTGTTCTAGCATAGGTATTTTGACATAAAAACGGACTTTTTAAGAACATACTAATTTTTTTCCATATTTTGATTCTACGACTCAAATTACACCAAACTACCAAGTTTTGTAAAAATTGCAAGAGTAGTTTTTAAAAGATTAGCTCTCAAAATTTTAGCTCCTCAGTGTTAATTGAGTTTGGTACATATTTATTAATCTCTCTTTTTTTATGAAACTTATTTGATTCTTGCTTAATTGTTTAAAAGTTCTTTGTTTAATAACTAAAAATGAAAAAAAAGATATGGCTACCAAATAAATATATATATATATATATATATATAGATATATATATATATATATATATTAAACAGGTCACACATAAACAGCTTATGTTAGCTAGCTTAACAAATTTAGAGAATATAAACTATCACATTGTATGCACAGATATGTCTCACATTAAATTTTCCTAAAACTTTTTTTTTTACTTTTAACCATAAAAATACATCTATGCAAATATGCATAAAGTACATTTTAGGACATTTAAATTGGATTTTAAAACTAATAAAAGGGTAAAACTGTTTAATTACTAATTTCCCACACTACTACAAACATGATAACCTTATACATAAGTTAAAGAAAATATACAATGCAAAATTTTAAAATTATACAATTACAGACAAACAAAATATAAATCTGGAATTGCAATACTGTAGAATTCCACTTATTTCAATAAACTAAAGTGAAGGAATGTTATGTACTACATTTTTCAGTAAACCATGTGAACAATTTTTGATAGTTGCACACATAAATAACCATGTAACACATTTCGAAATTTAGGTTCATTCCAAATAAAATTCACGAATTTTTTATGAATTATTTTTTAAATTTGTATTTTTAAATAATTTTTATAAATTTTTCAAAAATATTTTTGAATTATAATCTATAAAATTTTTACCATCATTTTAACATTGACGTATTTCTAAGCATACCTATAAAAAATTACAGTTTTTTTATTCAAATTTCCAAAGATATACGTGAATTTACATATTGGTGCATTTTGAAATTTGGCATATTTGTTTGAAAGTGATAAAACATCAAATGTGGTTTTAGACACTTTTCTAAAATTATTTGGAAGATAGAAAATGATGTGACTTTTTTTCCCGCTCATGCACAATGTAAAAGGAACGAGGTGTCCTTTTTTTCCTCCCTCCCCACTAATGGCAAGGGAAAGGAAAATTGGTTGCCACATATTAAGAAGTTCGCCAAGTGAATTATTCTTGACGAAAACTGAAAAAATTGTCGCAAGATAAATTTTTGAATTTCTCCATAAATTTCGAACCAAATTTTAGAAAATTTAATATCTAGGCATAATTTGAGTCGTAGAATCGAAATAAGGGGAAAAAATTGTATGCTATTTCAGAAAAAGTCTGGTTTTGTGTCAAAATACCTATGTTAGAACAATGCTATATATAAATCTAATATAAATCCTAAGTCGCGCTTTGGAGACATGAAAAACGCAATTTGAATTTCGTCAATTGGCCCAATGGAATGGGAGATATAGAACAATGTACTTTTTTTTTTTTTTTTTGCGCATTGCACATAGAAATTTATCATATTGAATTATGATTGAATAAGTACCAAACTAATTGTATAAACTACCGAACTAATTGGATATGTGTGAAAATAAAGATGGTAATTTATTCAAACCCAATTCATTATCTTTATCTGTATGCCTTAACCATAAGCAATGACTGCTACCAAAAGCTGTAAAGAGTTCCAGTGTTTTCTACTACGCATTAAAAATATGACATATACATATTTTTTTAATGCTAAAATATTACTAAGACTTACAACTGAATTATATCAATCACTAGTATTATTTGTTTTTCTGGCCTTTGTAACTAACTAGCCTAGAATAGAATATATGTCCTTATTCATTTCCTAAAATAATGATCATATTTTTTTTTTCTTTTTTTCAAAGAACTACATGCACTTGTTGCATGATATATTTCATCTCTTTAAAATTATTTACTTTAGCTTGTACATCAGACGTTTTGTCCAAAACATAAATATACTTTATAAAGACAGAGATTTTTTTTTCCTTTAATATACATTATAAACTTGGGCAAAAATCAATTTTAGATTAGTGTTAGTTTTAAAGAAAACTCTATCAATTTTAAGAGTCAGGCATAAGGTTCTTTTTCTTTATAGAAAAATAAGTCAAATAAAAGAAGGGAAATGAACAGCTTCCATATCTAAATTGAGTAATTAATTAGAAACCTTTCATTTTTTAGCTTTAAATATATTTGAGCATCACAGAGTACAGTTCTTCACATTGATTTTCAGTAATATTATAAAAAAACTTAATCTTATCAATAATGATTACTTGTATTTTTCCGTTATGCGCTTGCCATACATTTTGGCTGTGCTATTGCAATAAAAAGTGTGTGTGTGCATTTCATTATTCTTTACACATACAGTCCTCAAGATATTATTGTTGGTAGTCTGCTTGCATTTGGCTTCTTTTTCACAGTGGCAAAAAAGCATGGCAAGTGCGTAAAGAAAAAGTACTTGATTACCTTTATTTTAAAGAAAATATTATCCCAAATTTAATTGTTTAAAAGTTCTTTGTTTAATAACTAAAAATGAAAAAAAAAGATATGGCTACAAAATATTTATATATATATATATATATTGTAAACAGGTCACACATAAACAGCTTATGTTAGCTAGCTTAACAAATTTAGAGAATATAACTATCACATTGTATGCACAGATATGTCTCACATTAAATTTCCTAAAACTTTTTTTTTTAACTTTTAACCATAAAAATACATCTATGCAAATATGCATAAAGTACATTTTAGGACATTTAAATTGGATTTTAAAACTAATAAAAGGGTAAAACTGTTTAATTACTAATTTCCCACACTACTACAAACAATGATAACCTTATACATAAGTTAAAGAAAATATACAATGCAAAATTTTAAAATTATACAATTACAGACAAACAAAATATAAATCTGGAATTGCAATACTGTAGAATTCCACTTATTTCAATAAACTAAAGTGAAGGAATGTTATGTACTACATTTTTCAGTAAACCATGTGAACAATTTTTGATAGTTGCACACATAAATAACCATGTAACACTGTGCATTTACATAGCTATATTACTTACAAGCGATCTTTTGAGTTGCTTCCTTAGATAAAAACATATTATAATAAGCAAATACTTATCAGCAATTATAGCATGTTATTATCATTATTATGAAACATCAAACCAATATAAATATGAAAAACCAAATAAATATGAGTCATTTCCAGGTCAACAAAAATTCCACAATTTCTTATTTTTGCATACAAAATTTTCAAATTCTTTTTTCATTATAAATGACATCTTTACATCTAAAAAATGTAAATGTGAAAAGATAAGAAGAAAAAATAAAAATAAGTTGCTTTTAGGCTCCAGTAGTTTAACATTACTTTTCTCCTGTGCTCTTTTCTCCAATTTAAGAGGTATTTTACTTATGGGAATTTTAACTTAACAAATTTACCACACATGCATTTCTTAAAATTATGCTAATAATAACAATACAAAATAACTTACATTATTTAATAAACATTCCAATCTTGTTTCAGATTCACCAGCTCTCCATACCCTCAGATAATCACCACTAGTAGCAAGTAGATCAGGATATATTCCTTTACTATCAGGAATCCACATTATTTTTGTTGTTGGATAAGGATGATCAAATGTGCTTTTAGCGGTGAATTCTGAGGTTTCTTCATCTAGTGATACTAACTGCACCTGTTTAAAAAAATAAGATAGATATTATATTTTTAAACTAAACAGTAATGCACTTTATATTTTCTTTTCTTCCATGAAATATCTAATAAAATGCAAACATACTAAAGTTGCACAAATAAAGGCTAAACAAAAACACACAAATGATCATTATTGACAGTATTCATAATTAAATAGTAAGTTTGTCACAAATTAGTTTAACTAAGTTATTTTCTATTTGCATCTTTACTGTTCCTTTTTCCTTAGTCACACAGCTTATTCATTCTAGAAGTTCATGTAAATTTTTATGAGTTCATGCAGATTTTTATATGTGTATAAAAAAGAGGTTAATCAAAACAATAAAAGCCTCTGTGTGCATAATAAACTGAACAAGCACCATGAAGACACACCTGGAGTTGGCGAATGTATAATGGAAATCCTGGCCAACATAGAAAAGTCCACCTGTTGAAATGGTAAGCTGCACTTATTCAGTTCAGTTCAGTGGATTGGCTTAGGCAGCATTTAAAAGATCCCCTTCTTTAACTGCCGTTTTTGAAAATGTGCCCTAAGGCATTTGTAAATACTAAGAAATAAAGGAGATACCCTCCACGCCGAATGGCGAAGCTGGAACTAGTACTCTTGGTACGAATGTTGGAAGATAGAATTTAGAAGAGCATCTGGGCTGAACGGAAAAGCGAGATGAGTCTAGCCGACGAGCTGGGTCGAATGATGGTGAAATCATGCGATTCATTGGGGCCAGTCACGTGGGTGGTCACCCTCCCAAGTACTGACCCCGTTAGAAACAGCTTGAAAAATTTTGAAGTCTGGGTAACATGAAGCTAAGGAATTGGAAATCTTCAATTTCTGCTATTTCTAGGAGATACTGCATGGCTTGAAAGCCTAACATAAATTTTTCAGTCAGGTTTCTGGTGTTCTTTAGTTTTTGAATAATTGTGATGAGTTTTCTCATATGTGATAAGATTCCTACATTTTGGGCAATTATCTGCAAGGTTTGGAAAATATTTTCTTCATTTTCTTTTGCGGGTTTATTCTGAAGTTTCCTAATGTAACTGAGTTTTCTTAAGGTATTGGCATCAGTAGTTTTCAGGTGGCTGAGCTGAGGAAAGTTTTCAGCATTTTTCTCCGGTACTTGGGTTATTGCTTGTTTCTGCATTTTCTGGATGGGGTTTCTTTGAATCTTTTTCATATTAATTTCAGCGATCCTATTCCGGTACTCTATACATCCAGTAAAAGAACTTACATGATTTAGATTGCAAAAGACACATTTAGGGAAATCCTCTTTCTTTAGATTGCATTTATTTGTATTTGTCCAATGATTTAGACTGCATTTGCAGCATCATACCGGATATAGACATCGATGGTGGGTATGCCCATACCCCTGGCATTTATAACACTGGGTAGGGCGCTTTCCTGATCTATACTTTTCAATTCGGACATTAAAGATTAAAATATTGCTTACGTTAAATATAGTATGTCCTTCTGGGGTGTTATCTAGTTCTATAAAATAGAGTGGCAATTTTTCGTAAGTTTCTCCTAAGTTTCTGGTGAACTGTTTTACTTTCCTTACGGGAAATTTTCTTTCCGCAAATTTTTTTAATATTTCATCTGGGATAATTCCGGGTACATTCTTAAGGACAGTTTTACTAGTTCTTTCATGATCAAAAAGATACATATGATAACTTCTTTCTACTTGGTCTAGCTTCAAAGTGATATTTCTGTGGTCTTCTGTATTAGTTGGGAAAATGAAAATGGAGTTTCTTCAAAGTTGAGATTCATATTCTACTATGCATATTTTTCTGAGGATGCTGTCTAACTCTAACCAATTTAGATTATCTTGGGATATATAACTATTGGATGTATTCTGTTTCCGTCAGTGTTTGGAATGATTTGTGTGCGATTTTCAATTGAAATTTCAGAAGATAGGCTACTAAATCTGTTTTGTTGTGAAATTTCTGGTCTAATGGTACCACTATCATTAATTTTAGCAGTTTCTCGGGAAATTGTCCATTCAGAACTACTATCAGTAACTTCAGGTCTCTTGTTAATTTCGGCTATTCCTTTCATTAAATTAGGGAAAATTTTCTTTAGTTTTTCATTTGTTCAATTTTTTCTTTTTCCTTAGCAGCTTCTTTTAATTTACATAATTTTCTTTTATGCCTATCCTTGATATGTTCTTCAATTTCTTCGGCAAGAAATTCCTTAAATATGGGGTCATCTGAATTAATTGGTTTTCTCGGCCCATAATTATTCTGAAAACTTTCTACAGCTTTATTTGTACACAAATTTCTGTTCACGCTTATTCAGCTTTCGGTTAACCTGAACTTCTATCTTATCATTCGTTGAAATATCCATCGGGCTACTCATTGTTGGTCTATCAGAGGTTCTTTCACTACCGACATTTCGAGAGATTGCAACAGAAAGTAAGAAAAACTATACTTACGGAGCACTTCAGGATGCAACCTTCTCATACCAAAGCTCACTTGCTAATGACCTAACAAAAGCAGGAAAAAAAAAAAAAAAAAAAAAGTTGCACTTGAAAGTTTAATTGTATTACGATCCACTGAGGATTTGTGGTTACTTCCAGAATAAACTGCAATGCAAATTCCTCTATATTTAAATTTTATTCTGAAACTAATGTCCAGCCAAGTAGACAGTTGTCTGCAAATTTTTTTATCTTAAGACCTCAAGTAGAGACTTATTAAATCAAATCTGAATTTTATGCAGTGTTTTTGTCTATATGCATTTTGACACTTCAATTCCTTCGTGAAAACTCACAGTATGGGATTTACTGGCACCTAATAGAACTCAGACATAGCTAGCTGTAAGATTACAACCTAGACTTCAAATCTAGTACACATAGGTGTTACAGTCTACTTATAATTACTTGCCATATTTTTAAGGTATATTCCCTACCTTAGTTTTGAAGATTTCATTGCTTCAAGTTAACCCTCTGCTCATCACGCGATCGATTTCCACGGGCAACTCAAAAGTAGCAAAATCTGCTCATCCCGCAATCTTCTTTTATTGAGGAGCACATCCCCTTTTTTTTCACCGTTTAACCCATTGAAATAAATTACACACAGTATTAGATGTTTAGTTTATGTTTTGGCCAACAGATATCGTTAGTTGACCACTAAATTGCAGCATTTGACGGCACGTGGTATTACCGCTCAAACTTCGCTTTTTGCCACTTTTTTCTTACAGGAAATGTGTGTGTGTGATTATGGCAAAGCCTCGAGGGCTATCTGTCTAAGGGAAGGGATGCCTTCGTGGAGGACTTTCTAAGGGAAACTGGCACGTATACACGTTACACATGGGGAAAACCACGAAAACGCTCATGCAGCCAGCCCGTTCACGGGATTCGAACCTCAGACCGAACTACCAGTGTTCAGCGACTTTACCGCTCGGCCGCTGGTGGGCTTTTTTCTTACAGAAATGGCTGCTAGAAAACATTCAGCGATAGACAGAGAGTTCCTGATGACTTATCAGATTCTGGAAGTGATTTTAGTTTTGATAGCGATATAGATTTTTCGGACTGCTCCTCAAATAGCGATGACTCTGATCATGATTCAATAAACTTGAACTATCATACTAAACAGCGTTTCTAAGGTATTTTTTCCTCAGTACTTTAAATTTTATACATTTTACTTTTTTATCTTATGCAATAAATAGAAATTAACTGAAATTTATTTTTAAAAAAATTTTTTTGGGTGATAACATCTGAAATTGGTTTTTCTGGTAACTTAGTTTCTGATGATAAAAATCTACAGAAAAAATATTTTGTAAAAAGAAAAAATGCAATTTTGAATTCTCCAATATATATAAATTTAAAATATACCAAATAAAAAATACACAATTTTTGAAGCGATTTCGGTCCATAAATTGAACAGTCAGACGGTTAAGAATGAAAAAGGTACTTATGTATTATCCTTTCAAAATTTATTTATTTAGTGCCCAGTTATGAATAATTGTAACATAAAGACACAATCATAACGACTAGTCCAAAATACGGACTTGTCATGACTTCGGCAATTCCAGATTTGGGATTTTTCCGGATATTAGATTATCAATTTAAATCTGGTAAGATGGCATGCAGAAATTATATAATTTAAAAATATGAAATCATAATTTATGAAATAAAGAACAACTATGATCTAAAGGGTAACAAAATTTACAAAAAAAAAAAAAAAAAAAACTTAATTTTTATTTGTTTACTTTAAACATTTCTTTCAATGTAAGTTGTTTGTTTATGTTGCTATCACAAGATTGGCAACGAAAGCCAAGTTGTTTTGCTAATTGTCTTGCTCCTACTGTGCACTGAATTAAGCCAGAATTGTATTAGCTATTTACTATACCTACGTTTATTTCTTGCACATGCTTAAAACTAACCTGAGTCCTGAATAAATAAACTCCCACATATACTTAAGGCTTTATCTAGTGCCGACACTAGATACCGCTGGTGCAATCTCTATGAGTCGTAAATTCTGCTTCAAAGCGCCTTCCTAAGTTCTAAATTTTCCCTGCCCCTAAACTTTGGATCCCAGGTGCTTTCCCTAAATCATAAAACACTTCTCATCCCTTAATTTTGCTGCTTGGAGTTTTCTCAAATTCCAAAATTTTCGTCTTCCCTAAATTCTGCCACCGTTTCTGGGTTTATGGTGAATAACATTCTTTATTATAATAACACTAATTATTATAATAAAGAATGTTATTCTTTATTATAATAACACTAAATGTAATCGTTTGGCCTATGAGTTTCATTAACAAAATTTATTTTTAGCACATGAAAACTGGCATTAGTAATAACAGTAAAAATTCGGCAAGATCTTTTTTGTTAGACGACTATAGATCCGATTTGATAAACTTCAGAACTGAGAAGAATGTTTCCACACTGACCTGAGTAGGAAGAAGAGCTGTTACTGTTACGACTACTTCCTTTAACTTTTCAGAATAGATTTTTATAAGTTCTATAAGAGGTGTCTTGCAAGAGTAATCATATTTAT